GGCTAAATACATGGGTGTGTTTCTATCTTTTAATCAGCTTGATGAAAGAGAACAACATCCTCCTTGATAGTCCAAATTTTAAACTTACATTCAAAAAGACAAGCAGCTAGCAAGGACTTGAAGGAAATGTACTGCTTTGGGGTGTCCTAAAAGGGACAGTTTTCTTTCTTAGATCAACCTGTACAATCTTATTACCTGATCACAGAAAGGTAAATTTCTGTACCCTGAATTGCACAGACTTGCAAGATACTGAGAAGGGTGAAGCATTCATAGTCAGGACTTACATTTAGACATGATAGGTAGTTCAGAGAGTGCTCGAGGAAGGAGAAACACCTTTCAAAGCATGACACCCAAGCCCACAGACAGGAGAAGATAACTGGCACTGCCTAAGTATAATGCGAATTTCAGACTGTTTGTTCCCTTACCTTTGCACTTTGCACTACAGCACACAGCTCAAAGCACTGACAGAAACTTCATACAAATATAGAAACAAAAAATCCTCTCACCTGATTAAGTACACACAGGTTTTCCTCTACTTTTGACAAATGCTGGTTGTTAACTTCTTAAAAAACAGATGGTGCTGCTTTGGATACGATGGCTTCCCTTTCCTTTCTGATTTTGGTAAAACCTATACAAACTCCATTTATCTCTACAGTAAGACTGGTGTGATAATAGTTGTCCTTAACTATCCACTTCCAGTTTCCCTAGCAAACAAGGAGCAGTAACAATATTGCCTTGTCACTGGAATAGGGACATGTGCTAAAATTTACTACAGTTCAAATAAGCAAAAATGTTTTGATCCTTTTAACTGAATGATGGTGTTTTGAAGTTTATCCACTAATTTACCTTCCACCAGTTTCCTCCATACTTCCATTCATGCTTAGAGGCTTTAATAACATTTGCAAACTGTCTATTGGGCTGGTTATGTTGCTGCAACCATTTGATTAATTAGATTGAGTTTTCAACATGGAAAGCAGAATAAAGCAGGACTAGAACTACTCTTCCACAAATCCTCTCAGGGATTTCACAAACACTTCCTTGCCCTCTCTACTTCAGCTCCCTTGTTACTTTTCAGTTTCATAAGCTGGTTAGATGGAGTCAGAAAAACACACAAAACTGTAGGAGCTGTCTTGGCAGCCTTCATTGAATTCCCACCGTGAGCACTTTCACATCCCAGAGCAAGCAAGCCAAGGTATTTCGTAAGAGCAACCCACAAGTCTTAACAAACGCATTTAGGAAGTTAACTGAAGCTTTCACCATTTATGCTGCAGCATCTTGCAAGGGTCTAAAAGCCTCACCTCCTGATTCAAGCAACGAAAAGCAGCTTTTCACACAAAGCTGTTGTCAAGCAGACCCTGTACAATAAGGCCTTTAAAATGTACACAAGCAGTGAAATAGAATTATGTTTCATCAGTTACCCTGATGAATTTGCAGTAGAAGTCTGGAAGTCTAGCACAATGTGAGAGTTTTTTCTATCAACCCTATTTTAAGTCTTTTCTAGTATGGATCATAGATCTCTTCTATACTAATACTGTTCCCAAAGTCAACCATCAGAAACTCCTATCTTCTCTAGTTTTAAAAGACAGAGTAAAAAGAAGCAAGACATGAATTAAAATAATTGCTTGCTTCATACAGGACAATCCAACTTCAATCAGAACACAGAACATCACAAACATTTGTTACTGGTGGTGAATGAGTGCTTTGCTTGCCCTGGTTACCTGTAAAAATATTCTATTGCTACAATTTGGAAAGATAATTGAGTGAAATTAACATACCCCAACTTTTTCTCTTACCTTAGATATACCAGAAGAATAGGGAAAATTAAAAAAAAATTGTTTTTACACAACTCTTCAAGAGATCTTAAAAAGAGATTGACCAGTACTGTCAAAGAACTAGAAGCTCCCAGAGGACCTGGTACTCCCTAACATATAAACTGGACACTTTTCTGCTCTGTCTGATAATGAAAAGAAGACAACGGGGAATATGAGCTCTGTGGTAGGCTGAGCAGCTGCTCAGCATGAACAGTGCTTCCAGGTATGGGCAGCTCTGAGGCAACACAGCTCAGACACAACTGCCTGCTTCACATCTCTTTCTGGGGACTCTTATCACTGTCAGTTCCACATTCCAACCACGCTTGAGCTCTTGAAGTGCAGAACTCAGCAAGGACACAGTCTAAGAAGTGGGCAGATGATGCCCATGCAAAAGATGGGACCAACTGGCATTTAAAAATATGAGATGTAAAACAGTATTTACGGAAGCTACAGATGCCTGCTGAGAAGCCCAGTGAGATGAAAATTTCATCCCTTACATAAAGACATTTCCTACGGCACAGACAATGCTGATTTGGTATATACAGATTTCTTTTTCTGATTTTCACTGGAACGTTTTTTCCATCTATATAGTTGCATGGAAAATACCACTGGTGCCACTCTGACTGCTCCAGTTACTGAGTGGCTATTTGGGCTTTTTTTCCAAACTGCTTGCTAAAGAAGGGTGGTAAGGTATTTAACAACAGGCTGTCCGAGATGATCACATTGGTTTCTCAGAAGGTAACACAAAAATGAAGCACAGCCTTTCATGTATTTCTGCTTGATGTAACTCAGGCAGTTACTTCTTATGAATACAAAATAGTTATTAATTTTGGAGAGGGCTTTTAAATCTTATTTTATAAATATTTTCCATGTCAATCTGGATATTTCACTCCTTCCATACTAAGACTGTTTATTAAACTGCAGCACACTGTCTTTATGCAGTTTGGATTAATTTTGCCATCACTAAATTCAATTGCAAATGATTCAAGGAGTTCTCAGGTAGCTGGCTTGATCCTTTCATTCATAGATTGCAAGACACACATTTTTAAATGTATTCTGCTGACCAATAATGATCAAAAAAAACCCTTCTTGTCACCTTTGCCTTGCTTTTCTCATGTTCAAACACACCAGGTTATTTATATGAATTCGCAGCATATGCTGCAGGTTTTTCAGAGCATGTAATATTTTCTTATTAGTCTAGTTATTGCATATCTATACATATCTAATCTCAGGTCAATTCAATAATACTGATAATGATAAAGGGAGAGAGTGTTTCTGGGACTTTGGATTATGTATAAATCCAGACCGTGAAGCTGAGGTGTGAATGCACAGTTCGCAGAAGTTTGAGGTCCACTTAAGGGCCAAGTAAAAGTCACTCCTTTCTAATGAAGCATTCAAGAGTTATTTGTAGCTCACAGTGACATTTCACCATTACCACACATACCATGAATGTAATTAATTTTTGAAGGAGTGTACCTGAACTGTAAACTCATTTTACTGATTTTTTTAACCATCACCAGTCAGATTTAAAAATAAAATAAATAAAATATATGAGGTTGCTGCCTTTTCATAATTTCATATAGTCATTTCCATAAAATTATATCCTTATGACAATATGATCTACATGGACAATTCTGCAACAAAGAACTACTCAGGTCAAGTTTACTGATTAGGCAAGTGCATTATTTTTGTGAGAAGAGTTGTATCTTAAGATATTAAAAAACTAATAGCATCCTGGAAGGTAATTTAACACTACCACACAAAACAGAACTTCGTGCATTCTTCCTCATGGTAGAGTTTACTTCGTAGATTCTCCAATAACATTGAAATATTTAATGCATATCTGGAACAACCTAACAAGTATTCAGCTTTAAAGAACTAACAACAAACAATGCTCATTGTTTCTCTCAATTAGCTTACATCTACTTCAGCTCTGCAAATGCAATTCAGAAAGCCTCAAACACAAGTAAAATTTACGCTGAACTGCTGTTCAGTCACAGAAAGCTTTTTCTAGCCTTCAGCCAAAGCTGCAGCTCTGTCCTGCTGACTTTGCATTGTTATTCAGAGTATATTACAATGACTGTCCTCTTCTTATGCTACCCCAAAGAACAGAGACTGCATCGTATCAGAAGGAGGTGAAAGCAAGGTTACCATCCCAGCAAGCTGAGCTGCACTAACTACGTTCCTGTTGTGCTCAAATTTCATTTGTTCCGGGAAATCTACTCTAAACGGAACACAGGAACACAAAATACAAAGTAGATATCCCTGAAAAGATCACTTGCCAAGAGCATATAAGGATTACCAAAATATACATCCACGTGGTACTATGCCGTAAGCACAGTTGAGAGGAAGTACATGAGGTTAACAGAAGATTAGTCACCACATTCTCCACAGACCCTCATCTACGCATATTAAAAACAAAAGCTCATCTCCTTCAGTACACAGCAAATCATCTTCTAGTTCTCCCAACAAGACAGTGGGTTTTTTTAAATTTCTTTTTTAATATCAGTTCACTCACATCAGTAGTCACAGACTGATGATATCAGTAAAGTAATATGGTAACGGAGTTGTTGCAGGTACCTCATACCTCCATCTGGCTGTAAAATAAATAAATGAATAAACAAAAAGCTGAGATTTCCCTTTTCCACAGGGACATGAGTACTTGCCACTCTCTCCAGATGCTACTCCCCAAGAAGCACAAGAAAATGTATCTGTCAGAATGTGACAGGATCCACTGCAAACGCACCTTCCATTCTTGTCATTGTTTCCTCTTGAATCACCTTAACGGGACATTGTAGTATTGTGTGAAGTGCCTCTTACATACAGCATAGATTCTCATCAAACTGTTATAATCAAACTTATAGCAGAATAAATTTAATTTCCTGTCTTCTTCCTACCTACATTGACCTGAGAAATATTTTATTCCAGGAAGTGTCTCAGGGGGATTTGCAGCAGAAGGTACAAAAATAGGATTTGTCATAAGAAAAAAAGAGAAAAAATATTTATCATCCAAAATTCTACACTCTGTCTACATCTACCTCTGTCCTTATTTACCCAATGAATAAACAAAATATTAAATGTGATGGCATTTAATGTAGCTATTTTGACTGCTCCCAGAACAACCACCCATAGTATCAGTTCATACAACCCACAACAGTTCTGGAAGGTATAAACAAAACCCCTCCTTACCTTTCATTCCAAACTTGGAGTGTCTTCCAAACTTCAGAATAATGAGTGTTATTACTAAGCCAGTGCACACCAATGCTGCAATTCCCACTACAACATACACCTAAAAAAGAAGAGGACACAAACAGACCTGATTTTTTTGTACTTGTAAACTACCTTCAAAAATATACAGCATTCAGATTAATCCAGTTAGGAAAAGAGATTCATTTCAACTGGGAACTCAGATCAAATAGTAAAGAAAACAGACACTTGTTGAAGTTTCTTCTATTCTGCAGGGAGCAGAGATTCAGACACTTATAAGAACACCTTTTTCAACATCCTACACATTCAAGGCAGGTGGGAGGGAGCGTAGAGCACCCCTTTCCCTTCCAGCAGAGTGGCATGTTTCAAGAAAAGTGGCATGTTACATGAGAGAAAAGCATATAGGGAAAAAAGTTTACTGTGAAGATGGTTGAATATCGGTACAAATTACGTGGAGTGGCTGGGAAGCCTCCATCACTGGAGACATCAAAACCAGAAAGGACACACCCATGAGGATCCATGCTGGCCTGGCTTTAATCAAGGCTTTGACCAGTGGATTTCCACAGGTCCCTGCCGTCTCACCTCAGCAGTTCAATGACTCCAGTATCAGATTAGAAAAGACTGCTTTGGATCCTCCCAGTTTTTAGCACAGTGTCCCTGCTCTCTGGTTCATGAATGCACATGCCCCACTGCTTGCTGCTTTACAGAGTCAGTGGTGGAGGGAGGCTGCAATGTCAACCAATCTGGTAACCCACTATCAGTTTCCAACATTTCAGTTCAGGAAAGCATGAGAGGCAAGGCAGCCCATACCAATGCAGCCACTTTTACTAAAACCTATTACATACCATTAAAACAAAAACCTACATGAAATCATGTTTTAAAGACACACAATTAGATTTTGAAAGTTTGTCGCAGCATATCCTTTCTCTAAGGAGGAGCTGACTCCAGGACTGGTATTCAAACAACAATCTTCAAATTACCTTGCATATCTTTCTTTTGTAAATGAAGAGCTGCTCTCCTTAACTAAAAATTAAACGCAAAGTCAGGCTAAAAAATTACAGTGAAGTTGTTCATTAAAGTAAGACATAAAATAACAGTTTTACTTCAACTGAAAATTGATTCACTCTTTCAAAAAAACGGGGGTAGGACAAAAGTGAGGAGCATTGATTTTTTTTTTTTTTCTTTTTCTTTTTTTTTCCTGAGTTTTGATCACAACACACTAATAGTTATAGTGTTCTGGTAGCTCAGGGTCCTATTATAGTGTCTGCTGCTTTGTGAGTTCTATAGCCAGAAAGTTCACAAAAATCACAGATCAGGAAAAAATACATATACTTACAGTGATGCTATCTTCATTCTCTTTGTTGGAAACATCCGTAGAAGTGATTTGATTACTGTTATTTGTGGCATCTCCAAGATCATTAGGCGTGGTTTCATACTCTTAAGAAAGGAAAAAGGGTTGCTTTTATAATTTCGTCACTTTGGAAGGGAAATGGTTTTTGTAATTTCTGCTCTGTAAGATGGTAAAGGTCACTACCAACTTTGGGACTTCGATGCTAATGAAGCTGGAATGTTTTGGGGGGAACCACTATGGTATATAATCAAACAAATGTGCTGGGACTGACAAACATGAAAAGAGAAGCAATCTACATCATAATGTGTATCCCTACTGGAAACACCAGAGTTAAATGAGAACTCCATTCAGAGAGCTATTTTAACGTGCTTCTGACTTCCCATTAAAAATGAAAGACTGCCCTCTACACTAAACTTCGCCAGCCTTGCGTTGAGTCAAATATAGGACAATCTTAGGAATTAGCTCAGGCACTTTTGTTTAGCCGATGAACTCGGCAGATGGGTTTCTAGCTAGTTGTATCATTATCAAATGGGAAATAGCTGGGTTTATTTGTTTAATAAATAATAAAATATCCCTGTTGTGTGCACAGGGGTTACCATTTAGAATTGCTGTCATACAGGTAATCCTTTAAAAATTTAAGTGCCTGAACCGGTATGAAGAAATTTATTGAGTTATCAAAATAATTCCACTGACAGGGCTGCAGGGGTCAATCCAGAACTATTCCACATAAAGAATGAACACGGCTTAATTATTTAGAATAATTTTTAAATGAAGCACAGATATTTACAGTCCATGATTTCCTGACAAAATTATTCAAATGAGATAAAACCAGTGAAATAGTAATATATTTTAAGAGGCGCATTAAAATAAAATTTAAACATGCACGTATTTTTTATTTACTTTTGGAAATGCACATAACATTTCAACTTCATGATTATAATGTGTGCAGATGAAAGACACAAAGGGCAATAACTGCACCTATTACAAAATGCACCTCCAGCATTGTAATTTAATTTTGCAATTCACTGGGTATTTTGTTACGTTTTGATTAAAATCAGTGCCATAAGCCTGCAGATGAAATTTTAAGTGCGAAATTGAAAAAGCAGAGCACAGAGGCACAGCTCTTGCTAATTAAAGAGGCAGGAGCTCTTCAGATCACAGAGCTGCTGCTGAGCACAGGAAAGGCTTGCACCTCAGCAGAGGTATTGTCCTTTAGCTCCGAATGCCAGTTTGGAGAGCTCAGCTGGCAGTGCTAGTAAGAAGTTGACTGGGCTTTTGATCTTCAAGAACATATTTGCTTTCTGCAAGGCACTAGCAGGCTGCAGATTTTTTGGTAGAGGAAGCTATCAGCTACCTCTGGCACCAGTGCTACAGTCAGCAGAGTCAGGATGTCTAAACAACTCACATACTCTATTTTGGCTCTAAACTATGCATGCCAAAGGACAGGACTCTTTCAAGCCAAAATACGTATTAAGTATACAGAACTTTCATGAGAAAAATGTAATTTCTTGGGCTTTTACCATTTGAATTCTACAACTCTGTACTGCATCTCTATGGGTGTAGCTTACCATGCGTCACAGAAGTACAAAGAGGACTTCTTGCTCATCTAGGTAGCATAATCCCTGCCTTAACAGCTCGGCTGCACAAGCAGCCTGGACTCTTGGACAAACTGCTGTCCACACTATCTGCCACCATAAGTACACACTTTGCCACAGGAGGGGAGGAGACTTCTGCTTCATTCATTTGCAGGCAAAGCCCGCTTTATGTAACAAATACCTAGGCCCAAAAGGTTGGGTTTCCTTTAAAATTAGCTGAGAACATTTTCACAAATATAGTTTTGGCCAACCCTATATTTATTTTAAGACCAACATACAAAACAAATTTTTAGAGTCTTCACTGCTCTGACTTTGTAAAAAAAACTTTGAAGAAGGAAATTTTTTGTTCTTAATTTCATCTGTAAGTAGCAGCAGGCAAAAGATGATGGTATTTGCAGTTCTGTTTGTGCTCATATCTGTACTAAACTACTGGAAATCACACTCTGAAGGACTAGTGAGAACCATACAGAGTGTTTCAGATCTGGTCTGTGAATCCCCCGAATGGACTTTTGTATTAAAATGGGCAAGAGCTAAAGTAGGCTGCATCTGTACACTGGTGTTCTGCTGACATTCCCTGCTAATTGTGAGTCATAGGCATTTGAGGTGCATAGAGCCAGATCTTCAAAGCCTCTTGAAACAGGTGAGTCAGTCAAGGAAAACACACACAACAGTTATCTAGCCCAAACTGGATGATTCCGAGTTAAACAAATTCCTCTTCATTTCACTATGAAATCCTGACATAAACACTGAGCACTTTACAGACAGGGTCACGCCTCTTGACTCATGCTAGGTAAGACTCATATTGCTGCAGGGCCAGGTTCTCCTGTGCTGTGTACCTCATGCAGCCACTAGTAACTACAAAAACTGCAGTGAATTTCAGCTGAGATTGGGTTATATTTTGCAGTAATTTCACAAAAAAGGTGCATGGTGGCTGGGATAGATAGAACAGCACAGTCACATCAGCACCGGAGGGGTGGGAGGGAGGTCGGGGGGTGTCACTCTGCACAGTCATTCTGGGGGTTTGGCTGACATGGGGCAGGTTGTCTCTTTCATGTTCACAACCACATTAGAAGAAGCATCGTAGCATGAAAATGTCAACTCGGAGCCAAAGGAGCTGGCTTTGCACTTAAATTTCCTGCTCATACCCAAGTGAGTTGCTTTATTTCTCTCAGTTACTTCCCAGATGGTGTCAGGACAGCTTTCCCTCTTCGCCTCTTCCAAGAGGTGCCAGAGAGGTGAGCTAGAGGCACCAATGACTGCTCCATGCACTGCAGGCACTGCCCCATGCAGTCGGGACTCCCACGGGCAAACACAATGTCATGCAGCCTGATGCAGCCTCATCTGTTCTTCTGTTTTCTGTTGCATGTTCAAAACACTTAATGGAAAACATTTGGAAATCACCTCACATCACAAGGACAGCATTTTCAAACAGCAGAAAGAACAGCCAAGAATAAAAAGGAAGGCTGCCTTCACCAGGACTGGGTCTTGCAGGTTGTGATCCACCAGCAAAACTTGAAGCACAACATATTAGCAGAAACCTACCCAAGTCAATAGAAGCACGCAGCACTCACATGAGTAAAGCCATACACAGGCATCAGGGCCTTCATAAACAACTCAGAATCAAAATCTTCATGCATACAGTTTATGTAATACAACACATGAAGAAACTGTGCAAACCATCACCACTTTCCTATATACAACCCTCCCACCCACCCACCCAAAAAAAAAAAAAATTGGAAAGAGAGGGAGGGGAAGCTATCCTTTGGAATTTCTAAGCATTTAAAGTTAAACTGATGCTTTAATTGCACATTTGTTAAAGTTTAATGACATGGAATGGAATAAAAGACATAACATTTAGATCAGCTTTAGATAACTTGAGTTATGGGCCATTTCATCCAAGTAAAAAGTACTCCAAACAGGATCCAGCTTCAGGTTGTTTGGGTATATTAGTTAAGATGAACTTTCCTACTCAGCAGAAGTATACCAAAAATATTTTGTAAAACTAGCTAGTTGCTTTTCACACTGCAGCTTCTATTCTAGTGCACGCTGGCTTTCGCTAGGTACATTTCTCCTAACTAAAAAACCAATGTGAACACTGTGCCATCAAATCCTCTTGCACACACTCAGCTACCACGGAAGTGATGGTCTGCTTATGCAAGAGAGATTAAGGAAAGGTACAAATGAGTGGACAGAGCAGAATGAATTGCCTATAGGAAAACTTACTTGCGCCAACTTCATTTTTAAGTGGGATTTAGGGGTACATTTTTGGAGGTAAAATAAGTATGGAATCATCCCTAAATAAATAAATTAAGTTACATAAGGAGAAATCACAGACTCTCATTTCTCCAAGAAATGCCTCCAAAAGGTTCACAAAACCTAATGTCTGTGAACTACACTAGACAGCTTTCATTCTACAAGATCAACTGCACCCATTCATAGCAGTGCATTTATGCTTCTCCTAATGTGAATAAAAAGCAGCAGAGTAAGTAAAACATCATATTGCCATCATGTATGTTGAATATAAGGTAGGAGAATCAAGAACACAAAATACCTTTTAGAATTGTGTTATGCTATGTGACATTTCAATTTAACTGAGCCTGACATTCAATCTTTTAATGGCTTCAGTTCCTTAATTTCTAGCATTAAAAGAAAAGAAAAAGGTAATCAAATATATACCATAAACGTCTGGATCCAAAATTGGGCCACTACCTGCACACGGAGAAGAGAAAAAAAAAAAAGAAAAGCTATGTAAATAGATTGCAAATGCTGGAAGAATAAGAAAAGGAATTGTTTTAAGAGTTGACTTTTATTTGCTATAGCAATCATCAGTAACTACATAAATGAAAATCAACACCAATAATTGCAGTACCTGCTTATCAGATTACATTTACAACCATTTTGGAGCTATCCCAAAGGTTAATATTTTGCTTCATGTGAAAGAGCTACTGCACAGGGCACTAGCTCTGGCAAGGGTACACGTTATTCCCCAACTGGGCAAAATCGTACTTTCCACTATTAATATATATATGGAATAACTGCAACATTAACTATTCCTGTTGAAAAGTCAATGGTAAAATTCTCCCTGACTTCAAGTGGAATCAAGACTTCAGTGAGTTTTAACAATTACTGATTTTTACTTGATAAAAAATTTGCTCTTATATCACTGTGAGAGCAAACCAGTTTAGCTGTGAGCTGGTAATTTAAGGGCTAGAGGTAGCAATAACCAAAGCAGCACCATTTTATTCCCTCTGTTAAAGGATACTTCCAAGAAGTCAGCTGCACAGCTGATACACAGACAGAACTCTTACCAAAAGAGTCAGATGTCTCAGAAACCAGAATTTTCACAAGCAAATGGATACCTGTCCAGGCAAAACTTTTCTAAATTTTACTACTTCCTATTTGCATCTCTTTCTAATTACTGCACATATATAAGGCTAAGCATATATGTCAATGTAATGCACAAAACACCCACAGAATTATTGTGCAATATTAGGCTATTAATGCTTTGAAACATACTTGTGTTGTATCTTGATATACCTGTTCATTTTGGTTTATAATGTATTCATAGCACAGCTTATGTAGTAGGCTTCTAATAATCTCTTCCATATTATTAGTCTTTCTTTTAGGTTTGAAGTAAAACTATAGATAATTAAAATCTCTAAAGATTAATCCAACTTCAAAAAGCATAATTCCATTTATACTTCTACACAGTAAATCCATAGCAGTGGCATTATACTGGCATAAAGACACTGTGAATATGAGCAGAACACCATTGTTCACAGCATGAGAATCTGTGCTGAAAATACTAGTTGCAACCTATGTGCAGAGTGGCAACAGATAATTACATTTATTTTAAAATGCATTTGAAGATATTCTAGTATCTCGAGATACAGCTCAATAATCCCCATGAGAACCATAATGTCAATCAACAGAAATAAATAACCAGTGAAGAAATGTTGCACTATCTGTCCGCATGCAACACTTGGCCAGAGATTTCTGCCCATAAAAGTTCATGGATTCAGTTTTCCCAGTGTAAAACATCCATCTGCTGAAAGACAGTATATCCAACTCATATTCTGTAATCAGAAATGGAAAAAACCCCAAAACAACAACAATAAAAAAACCTCCCAGGCCTTTATTTCTGGCAACATATTTGTTACTGTTCATTTAAATTGGGATAAAGTAAGCAGATTAGTTAACCCTTAACTCCTGCCATAGATATGAACTAGGAAGTCATCAACTCTATTCAATTCCTTTTATATAACTGAACACTTCCAATAAAGTTTCAAAAATCAAGATCCTGGACAACTCCCAAATTTCTACTTCATATTGTTTTTTCTATTTAGCACATAAAAACACACCTACTTAATCATCAGTTGCAATTATTTTAATACCGAACTTCACTGCAATCATTTTCCATATTTACACACAGTTATTTTCAAGGCAAATACAGAATGGCACCATTGTTTTTGTCCCCTTTAGAAGAGGTTAAGCAAATGATTTATCCTATTCGCTCATCTGCATCAACTACACTTGGATTGCTTGCTTCTTTGTAAATTTGATGTTTTCAAAAAAATACAGCAGCAAAGGACTCAATTCCAAAAACACAGTTCTGCAAAACACATTATGCCACACAAGCAAACACTACTTCTATGGCATATTTAACATATTCTTTTATTATATCAAAATATATGTGACTTGGATTCCTTCCACTGAATTTTAGCATAGAGAGTTGGTAGATAAATAAGCTTAATTAAAAATACCTATTATTGCTAAAAACCTCTCCAACTTTCATTAGATATTTTGGATCAACTATGAGGATAGCCTCCAGAATAAACCATGACCATTTGTGGCTTACTCTTCATAGCAGTGTCATCTCATATAATTAAGTCACTCTCAGCAAGAACAGGAAACCAAGAACTTTAGCAGCCTAAAGATAGCTAAAATCCAGCTAATTAAATATAAAGTTTATTCTTCTACGTCTTCATATTTAAAATAAATTCTTATTTTACAACATTAACTGTGAAATCATTAACACCATCAAAATTATGAGAGCATCAAAACTGAGAGCATCTTAGAGAAATCACGTCTTCACCATGTTTGATGCAACTCTGAAAGTGGAGTATTATGCTGTTGATGGTAGAACATGTTTCAGACTTATGTGTATTTACTTTAGGTAGATACATGGATTATAGGTTTCTAAAAATTTTTTTTTTATTTTTACCTTCTGAGCATTTGCCCAAGTGATGCAATAAGGAGAGAATCAGTTTAAGCTCAGCAAGTGTACCTCACCCCATTCAGTCATGAAGATATGGAAATGAACGTAATACCAGGGCATGGGCCTTAATCTTTATGCTTCATTTTACAATATATGGGCCAAAAGAAGAAACTACACAGTAACGACAGCACTGAAAAAGCCTTTTAAGGATTTGAAAAAGCTTGACAGTGCTTTAAATAGTAACAGTTGAGAACAAAAATTGTAACACAACGCATTTGCTTTTATGCCAGCCTCAGTGGAGGAGACAACATTATGTCATTTTCAGCAGCTCAATGCCATGAATTCTTAAAGGAAAAAAACTGAAAACAATATTGAGGAAACTAAGTAGATAAGCCATTTCCCCTGCTGTTAATTTTTAAGACTGGTTTGGTGCCATTTACTATATATGAACTAATTTCTAATGCAGTTACATCCTGTCTACACATAGTCCCATTTCCTCTATACTCCTTTTGTAAAGCTTAATCCACTACAGGACTTGGGAAATGCTTAAAGAACACAAAACAGATTAAATAATATATAGACTTATTTCTATATGAATGGAAATATGATGGAACAAATAAATAATGTTTTCTTTCTAATCTAGAAGATAGCTACAGTTCTATTTACTGATCTAAAACACCACAACTGGAAAGTTTTCAGAGTACAGGGGAGAGGCATAAAGAAAAACAGGAGAAGGGATTTGGATCAAAGACAAAAAATTGTAAAATCACCTTAATGTGTGAGAGATTAACTGTTATTCTGTTAGAAAATGAAGTCAGGTTCATATTAAATAAGCAGGATGTAAGAGAACTTTCACTGTACACAGAATATCCATGAGGTGAATTGTTTTGCTGAACAGTTTTAAAGCAGTATTAAAGGATGCTAGTAGCTGAAACCATGACATGTTTCTGTAATGAGTCTATTTAAGGAAGAACTCCAGAGAAAAAAAAAGAAGAGAGGAGCATTAAGGACAGCAGGAGTAAATAAAGCCTGATTTTATCAGCTCTGCATCTTCTCCTTCTAAAGGTGGGAAAGTCTTTTGACCTACTCTCTCCCTCCCTTCAGCAAACTAAGTTGATAGAGAAAAAATTAAATATAACTGTATTTTTACTGTCTGTAGCCTGAGATATAGGAAGAGAAAATTTAAACATACATTTTTCCTGCCAGATAACATTAGCACTGCACACTGCTGTTTAAAAGAAGAAGGCAACTATTTATATCACATGGCTAAAAAGCCAAAGGTACATACAAGCTCATATTTTCAGATATGAGTATGTAATTATCTGCACAAAATCATGACTTTATTTCTACTCCAGATGTGCAAGGTCCACTCAAACTTTTCTTTCCACATACCCCAGTTTGCTTATGTGTACAGTGACTATTCTTACAGTCACTTCACGTACGCTTTTGAAGATGTGGGAAAAGATCAAACCACAGTGAATAATCACAGTAGTGAATTAGTCTACCTTGATCCTGCCCAAACAGCATTTAGGTGGCCTTGGCAAAACCTTTAGAGCAACTCAAGATGAAAACACCTTGAACAGTGATACTCCTAGAGATGTACATGTCCAACCTCCACCTAGACAAATGGGAACGGGACAACAAAATGCCTGTATGGATCTGAGACCTTGTCCATCCTGCCTCTGGGTTACTGATGTCCTAAACAACATATTATCATCAATTCACTGGACCGCACAATCAATTTTGCAACAAGGCACTATATGCTACAGAGGCATCTTCCATGTCTTGCGATACACTGCCTAGTTCCATTCACATGCTGTGCAGCAAATTACAGAGTGGATGAATTGGTAGTCAGTGCCTTCCAGGATCAGTACGGAGGCTTGGGAAAACTTCAGAAAAGAAACCTTTTATTAGCCTTAGCTGGCAGAGAGGATGGTTACTCAAAGGAAAGATTTACAGAGTACTGGCATGGGCGCCCTCGAGAAGCAATAAACAAGAAAATGATCATGGAAAACATTATTTTGCAACTAATATTGAAGACATGCACTCAGAGAAAAAAAAAAGTCCTACAAAAAGCTTCCTCCAAATAGTTAAACTGGGCAAGAGCACTGTCTCAGTAGTATCAATTTGCAAATGCTAACATTAAAAAAAATTACACTTACCATCTCCAGGCACTGACATGAAATGAGCATCAACCCGTTTTTCATCCTCTCCATAATCATTCTTTGCCAGTAAAGTATAAGCACCATTATTCAGGTGTGTAGGATTGTCCAGCTGAAGGCAGCCATGGTATTCACTTTGATTGATAACATGTATTTTAGTACAGATGTATTCAGACTCATTCAGTACAGCTCCTTCATAGAACCACTGCAGTGTGGGCTTAGGGTTCCCTTTCACAGTGAATGGAATACACCAGTGGTGGTCCGGGGTTGGAGACTCAATAAACGTGATATTTGGTGCAACTATATTGGAAAAAAAAGAATGAAGAACATCAGAATATTCTGAACATGTCCTTCTTCCCTTCTCGTCCTCCCTCCAAAGTTATCAGGGAAGTCTATTTCATTTACCAGTACAAATATATGTTACTAGTAAGAATGGTACGTATTTGAAGGATGCCCACACAGGAATGCACCTGCTCTGCCTGGGGTACTATGCTTACAATTGAAATGAAGTTGCTCTTTAAAGAAACAAAGCAAACTAGTTTCAGACAAAGACTGAACATGTGTTAAATCACTTAAAGCCTGCAAGGTGTGGGAAGTTCAGTTACTAGATCGCTGAGAAAATCTCTCTCTTGAGAGGGAGACATTTTAGTTTTATTCTGCTGAAAAAAAGGTGCAGAGGAGTGCTGAAGGAAAACAACAGTATTGAAAATATTTAAAAGCTGGCCAAAAGCAAGTAGTACCGGAAATATACTTGGCTAGGAATCCAAACTTACAGACTATTTTCTTCATAGAATCAAAGCCAGAACAGATTACTTAATTCCCTGGATTCTTTTGTCAGGGAAAGATGATTTTCTACTATACATACTTACATCCTTGTTAAAATCTGCTAAATGTCTCAAGTTTACAGACTACTTCTGTTTCTCTCAAGAGATTATTCCAACACCTTACCCATTATTTCACTAATGGGAAATTTTCCCCTATATTTATTCTTAACTACATCCAATTTCATCTAGTTGTACTCCCTTTTATCACTCGCAACAGTGACAAGCTCAGAATCTCATTACACTGTTCAAACATTTCTAGTTTATGTTCCTTCCCATAGTTATTACAAATCCAATATCAACTTACAAACCTACATGTACAGTGATTTCTCTAGTTTACTCTGTCAGGAGCACATGCTGAGCCAAGTTTGCCGTCTACAAAGTGTTCCGTTCCCATCTTCAATCAAACAGAGGGTTGCAACTTGTGAAAACACGCTGCCTCATTCATGTAAAATGAATTTAGCCTGGAGCCTAGATCAAAGAAGCCAGTGCCTCTATACTGAATGTCTTTTCCCCCTTCCTTGGCCCTGACAAATAGATGTACTATTCAAAGCTGTGACAAATAACTTTATATCTGGCCGCACAAATGTTGAGAGTGTATTATTTTCCGAACAAAGCAGCTGTTGTTTTAGATAGTAAGAACTTAAACATTTGTAGTCTCACAGATAGCTATAAGCCTTTTGATGCATTCAGACTTCTCAGTTCCTAAGGCAGTATGTATGGACATGCACACCATTACAAACCTACCCACACTGACAGTGCCATTCAGTATTTGGGGTTTAAGACCTTTCCTTACAGATTGTTCTAGGCAGAAGAGGAAGCAGATACAAACATATTTTTTGCCGAATACAGAGCTGAAAAGATAAATGCAGCAACTGCTGGTTGGGTTACTCCTTAGCATTAACTGCAGTAAACACTTCACATGCCTTAAGGGTTTTTGTTTCAACTACCTGAGCGTCCAAAAAATACTTAAACCCAAAACAGTTCCGCCAATGCAGTTTGGCCTCAGGATCTATATATATATGGAGACCTGCATACGTACAGAATACCGTGAGCTCAGCAGAGGCTTGGTCCTCTCCCACAATGTTCTCTGCTACGCAGGAAATCCACAGTCCACTATCCATGGATGAAACATTCTTTATGGTTAGTGAGGCAGGGTTCTTATTTGTGTCACTCTACAATTGATCAGAAAAACATGTATATGTCAACCACAGCATTAAGAACAAAGGAGAAGGAGGGCATTACTGGCAATAGCTGAATGGTATTTTTCATTTTCCATTAATTTTAACTGTAACACTCATCAATGAAACAAAGCCTTACCTTAGCATCTTATTCACACAGACCCAAATCACCTACAGAACCAACTGTAACAGTCAGTGGCAGTGGATTCAAAGCCTCAAAAGTCCTGCTACAAACACTGCACTCAACCATGTTTCTGTCCTGTCACTTTCAGTCTCGCCCTTTTTTTTAAACCCTGGATCCTCTCTACACAAATCTTTTTCTCTCTACCCATGCCCTTGCTCATCCCTCTCTCCCACTTCTAACCGATTTCTGTGGTCTATCTCTGCCTGTTCTCTTTGAACTTTTTCTTCTTGCCTATATTCTGTTCAATCCTTACTTTACTTATCCTCTTCTCTCTTTCCTTTAAAATTCTGCATGACATCTCTTCCCCTGCTGCTTCTGAGCCCTACTGTAAATTGACAATGATGTGTCTTCTACCTTTTCCTTAAGCAAATTTCTCTTGGAAGCTTTCTCTTCTCAAGAAACCTTCCACAAGAAACTTAATACCTTCTACTACCTATGTTATTGTCCCAGTACTGTTTTATGTGTTTAAGCACAGACTAATAAAGGTAAGAATGATAATTCTTATAAAACTTGATTCTTATGATTTCTAGAAAGCTCAGTGTCTATCTACAGCCTTAAATGACATATTGTATACACAGCTATGCCATACTGATTAAGGAAATATGGGTGAATACACACACACACACAGAAAGCAAGCTAATGATTCTGATGTTCTTAAATGAGGCCTTCATAGGATCTCCAAATCATTATTTCCATACTTGAATTTTTCACAAAGAGCAAGACTATTTTGTTAAACAGGTTAGGAACCAAACACATTCAGAAAATAAACGATAATTAGGATAATTTTTAAAAACTACTTTTGAGGTAATTTTCTTAGTGAACACACACACACCAGTGCAGCACAGAACACAAACAAATAACACACTGCATCTGTAAAATCACAGCAACCTTTAAGTGACAGTCAATACGAATTTGTGGGAATACTTGTGCATATCGTCCTGTGCAACCAGAATTTTGAACCTCGAGATGACAGCACAACTCCACCTGAGTTAAATGTCCCTTTGATTTCAGTGTTACAGTGGGGGAGGTGGGTGGAAAAGCAAACATCCCATCACACACTTCTCTGTGTGCAATTCTCAGAGGTGAGTAGTGCCCAAAGCTGGACTGAAAGCAGAGGGGCTCAACCACAGGCTCAGGGCTGAAATCTAAAGTAAGAAAAATCTAAGCAACATCAGTCAGACTATACATCAGCATAGAAACTCAGAACATACAGCTCTGCAGAACTAAAGTCTGGTTTTAACTTTTGCTAATGTCTCTTTTAAAACAGGAAAGAGAAAGGAAACAAACAAAAGCAGAATATGAGGGGAAGGAAAGGGGGGCAGATTTGCAAGTGAGAGAAAGAAACCAAAAGCAACGCTCACATAAAAGGACAGCTGTGAACAGCAAACGAGATTTAAAAGGCATGTGTTCTCCTGCACTCTGTGCTCCATGGCTAAGGTTGTAGCTAGCCTGTATTATGAGCCCCTCTAAAATACTGTGATGGAAGTTATACCAGGACAAAATACTTCTGGAAAGCTTGAAGCAAACTGGTCATGGCATTTCAAAGATAGGAGGGTTAAAAAATGAAGTGACCTAGTGACCTCACTTTTCGAACAGCATCCCACATTTGTTTTGGCTTCTAATTAAAAAAAAAAAAAAAAAAAAAAAAAGAGAGAGAGAGAAAGAGCACAACTTGGCATAGATTCCCCAAACTGTTTTAATTTCTTGTTCTTGATGACAACTGATGACTTTGGGGAACTTTAGAGATCACAGAAAATTACTTTAAAAATACAACTAGAGCTCTGCAGAGCCCTTACTCACAGAGCTGAAATGAAGGACAGGCTAGTGAAATTCTGTACAAGCCTGATATAATGATCTTATGAAAGAAAATACAAAAACTATGAGACCCAAGAGATCCTGTCTCTTCCACACTTCAGGAAGAGTTTTGGAAGTACACATCCCACACCTTGTACAGACCAAGAAGCTTTAGGCAGTTGTGCATCATCATGAATGTAGGAAAAACAATGCCTCAAAATTTTAATAAACAAAGGTTCTTCTCTATTGTGTAAATAATGGCAATTCATAAAGTCAGCAGCTGCATACTGAAGATCTGCTTATATACCTCATCTTTGTCAATATTTCAATCAGAAAGAACTTAATCATGCCATCTCCAATGTACACACAGTCTCCAGTGGGGACACAAAATATAAAGATCCCAGAAAACAACCTTCCCCTCTCCTAGATAATTTCATTGAGGAAACATCTTCATAGTTCATTTAAAAAAATAAAAAGAACCTACCATTCTTTTTATTAAAATTTTAACTTCAATTTCATTTTGTAGCAACGTGTGGAAGGAAAATTAAACAAGTCACAAAATATTTACAAACAAATTCCAACACAGTAAACTTTTGACATGAAAATATAATACAATTACAAACATAAAGCTTTTTTCACAATTAGGATAGATTGGATTTATTTTCTGTTAGCAGATATCAGTGATAATAAGAAAGTCCTTATGTTTCAGTATTCTCATTCACATTACTTTCAAAAATTTACATCACTGTCATTTACAAGTGAACATCAAAAAAACAGAGTGAAAATCAGGGTCTTGAGAAATAAATGTCTGCCATTCTCCAAAAGCACTGCCATAGTCACCCTTGATTGAAAGTAACTGGAAAATAAACATAGTCCCAACATTAACTTTTTCTTTCATCTTTTTAATAAAAATTAACTAAAGTTGGACATGAAACTTCATTCCATCATTCAGCAGGTATTACCTGTCTCTGAACTGTCACATATCTGAATATAAAACTTACCTCATGGTTTGAAACAAGATTAGTTACCACCCAGGACACATTTGGAGGTGGTCCTCCCGTAGTATCGCAGTACAATGTGATGCTCTTTCCTTCCACCACGGTGATGTTATAATTGCTTAAGTTTGCTGAGGGCAAGTCTATGACAGAAATAACAACAACAAAAAAATCCACATGTATTTGTATTTGACAGAAGAGACACCATGCAACCCTAATCACCACTACATCAAATATTTACTGTTGTCTGTACTATTCAGTCAAGTAGTACAAACAGCATCTTTGGAAATACAAAACTACAATCTTTAGCTCCTATGTATTTTCTACACCTCCTCTGCTTCATATCCTAAGAAAACGTTACTGCATATGGAAAAGCATTATTCTAGTTAATTATATAGGGAAACATGTCAGGTGTGTAAACAGAAGTTATCTTCAGTTTTTAACTTCAAAATGGACAAAAACCTTACTTTACTCTTCAAAACTGGAAATTTTATCTGTCTCTTTTTAACAGATGCAAAGCAACCTCTATTTCCACTAACTGACACTGTGGTATTCCAGCTGTTCTCCACAACGCTAACAAGAAAATCTCGTTAGCTCCCAGTATCACACAGGAGACTGCAGCCCTCCTCTCATACAGTGACACAGATCACAGAGTGCAGGGCAAAACCTTGACCCTAAGTACAAAGTGAGGGAAACAGAGCTCTGAACACATCAAACTAGAGGAGGGAAAGGACAGACGAGAGGGTTAGCAATTGCACAGAGCTCTATCCAAGGCAACTCAGATGACTTTTTTAATGCCCTCAGGAAAGCAGAAAAGCAATGAGATGGTACTACTCACCAGGAAACAAGACCAGATTTTGCAACACTAAGGACTCCTCCTTCATCTACACAGCTATAAATCACTGTATCTAATTCTTTAGCACCCAAAGGAACAGGAGCTTCCCAAAGAGTAAATATGTGCTGAATGCTTAGAAAAACACAGGGAATTACAGACTGACCTTCTTCAAAAATAAGAGCAATATCAGTAAATTGCAGGCACACAGGAACTCACATTTCATATTTATTTATGTAGCAAATAATTAAGTACCATTTTAGAAATATCACCTTTCTTAAAGATACTATGCCATCATTTGAAGCTGCTACACTGTGAAAAGCCCTGGTCTCCTTTATGAGGTATTTCTCAGCAATAGTTCCAGACAAGATTTACTTGCAACTTATCATCTCAAATAGTCAAGCTTATCTGCCTTGCTGGGTATGTATGCATCATCTTGCAATGACTTTTCTTTTTCTGAAACAACAGTTCTTTTCGGTTTTGTTTTTTTTTTTTTAGCTGAAAATATAGCAGTTTCATCATGGACTTGGTGGTACAGAAGTTTAGCAGAGACTTTTTTCCTTATTTAAAACATCCAAACCAAATAATTAACTACCAAATCAGCATGAACACATTCATATGTTTGCTGGAGATTCAATAGAAGCTATATGTATTGGAAGTCTGCCTTTAATTAGTTCACTTTAAAAAAAAATAAATGAGAGGAAGCAATACAGAAAAGAAGGTGAATAATTTCCCAGGCAGAGCTTTCTTGCCTAATAAGATTTGAAGATCAGCACAAGTATACACTAACTGCTCAGGCAATTCTCCCAGTGCTTTAAGTAGCGCTGTAATACGATTCCCATTACAGGCATCATGGATTTTTTCTATTATGTTCCCTTTATAAATCATATGTTGAAGTTTATTGAGACAGAGCTGGAGAGTTTGTATGCCTTGATATAGTAATCTGTTAGCAGAGGTAGCCATCTGCTCTAGCCTGCTGTGAATTCAAATCTCACCAGTGTCTGTCAACTAGGTGAGCAGGAAATAAAACTAATCTTAGGGAACATCTGGATATTAATTATGCTATTTAGGGAACATGGAGAGAAGTAATGAGATAATTTGCTTCATAAAGTTACACCTTCACACCACATTTGAAAACCATTACAATTACTCCTGACAGACCTGAATATCCAAAGAGATTAAAGGTCCCCACTCTTCCTGGTCCTAGCACTTGGGACAAGGTCTCCATGGTAGATTAGCGTTTCACTGTGCAAACCTGCACAGTTTCTACTAACACACCACTTCAGGTGAAAACAACAATAAAATAAAACCAACTTTTGTCCCTTAGAGCTCTCCTTTGATAGCTGTTAAACTCTGAGACAATTTCTTCCTGCAATGTGGTTATGTACAGGATAGGTGACTGAAGTTTAATTTCTCTGGTACTGGCGCTGTTTTTCACCCAGAATTAAATCTAGTTCTATTTATTTGCAAAAGTCTACATATATCATGTTGGTGTTAAGTCTCTGATGGAAACAGTTACATCATGCCTGTATCCTGCCAGAAGGTTATAAAATATTAGTGCTTATTATTCTATAGGTTCCTAAAGCTCCTAAAAACCAGTTTCAAGACCTCTGCCTCAAAACAAGTACAGATGTAATGGAATAGAATAGAACTAGAAACAGAAATCACGTTGTTGTGTGTGTTTTCTTTTACTCTCTTTCCCAGTCATGAGATGGGTGGAAAACCTAAGAAATGCCTTGGGATTAATTTTTTTCTGGTTACATGTCTTGAGATAATGAAATTAACCTGCAAGGTCATTTTGCTTTTATTTCCAGTGGCCTCCAAACTGTTCCACAGCAGAATACACAGTAGTTGAGATGTGGCTCTATTTCAGAAAAGCAGACAGTAGCTTAAGTCATCATATCCAGATATGTGATGCACTGCACTTACCAACAAAGCAATGAGACTAAGCAGCAAAACCTGCACTGAAAAATAACTGTATAGAAAAAAATCCACACTGGACCATAACACACACACACACGCTCAGTTTGTATGCTCAGTGTAGTGTGAGACCACTTATATGGGTCGGTAGCATTTTGACACTTATAAAAGATATCCAAACATGCTGCCTTCACTTCTGACTTAATTTGGTTAAATACAGTTGTTTAGATGGCTATTGCTTCTGTTGATAACAGATGTACATTTTAAAGGACTTTGCAAACAGCAACTGATACAAGCAACCAGATAACAGATTCAAATACTTTTGTATACTGCCAGCGTAGTAAGTTCAGATTGTAGCGTAAGAACCCATAAAAGGCAGACATTATCTTTCTACAAGTTTCATCATGATATGTGTCAGATAGAGACCACTCTGTGCCCCAAAGCTCTAAACACAATCTCTGTTTCAAACTTTTATAGCGATACTTTCTATAACTCTGGCTATCAGCAATGACCCATTTAGTATCCAATTTCTTTTTCAAGTTGGCTGTATTTCTGGCCTTAACAACCTTCTGTAGCAATGAGTTTTACAGGTGTAATGTTCAGGTTGTATACAAGAGCCATAACCTTTTACCAGTTCTGAAATTTCTCAGTGACTTTCAAATTTATTGAGTACTCTTCTGTTCTGGTGGAACAGAGTAAAGAGAGTTTCTGAATGATCTTCTTAAGATCACCTTGTTTTATTTTGTTTCTCAAATACTTTTCTTCTCAATAATCTATCCAAAGCTTTTCAATCTCTGCAAAAATGGGAGGATGGAACCTGTTACTGGGAACTTTAAACTATAATATAGAGAGTAATCCAGATCAATAGATGAATGTGTACACTAAAATCCATCTGTTTCCTTATGCATTGGTATATAACAGCTATGTCCACCACATACAGAATATCTTTTCTCCTATTCAACTTGAGTACACTTTATTCCCAGGAACAGGCACCTCAGGATTAAAATGAGCAGTCACTTCCCTCACCCACAACTAGACACAACAGAGACAAGCAGAAGGAACTCATTTGTGCCAGGTGAGTTGCTCCAAATATCATCTCATACTTCAGAAGGAACAAACTCCCCTTTACGTAGGGAAGAGAGGTGTTTACCTTCAGACACCATCATTAGCGCAAATGGATGACCTGAGGCCATCAAACAGTGGAACTGCCAAGCATCACTAGGAATTACTCATATTTTTCCTGTGCACAGCTGGGACTTCAGTGACCACAAAACCAAACACCTTGGATGCAATTTTCAAAGGTTACTACTACATCAGGCTACACAGCTGTCAATGGAAGTTCATAAAATGAATGTGCCTAAATTCCTAGAGGGCTTTCAAAGGCTTCATGCTGCTACTCACCACTTTCTACAGAAAGCTTAAACTGGCCTTACTAGAGCCAGACCATCACCATATGTCAAAGAAAGGATATGACCTAATGAAGAAATAACTGAATATTAGTAAAAGCTGTTGTCTGTAACTCAGCTCTTAGCAGCAAGAACAGTTTAGCCAGTATACTAAAGCTACTTTTAGAAGGTGATGGTCTTAGGCCAGAATAAGCAGATCCACCATTATGTCAAAGATACTGTTTCTCTAACTTCAGTTACAAACATTTTTACAAAATTAGTACCAGATTGATTTTTTCTGCTTCAGTTCTGGGATTTGTTCAGTTGCTTAAAAACTTTCAACAATTCTCTGAATACGGTCAATTAGCCTCACTAATACCTAAGAAATTACATAATGAACAAATTAGCAGCCGGCAGCATACCATAAATTCAGTATTGCATTCATTTATGATATCTTTTGCACACTAAGTCCCTGACTCTCATCAGTCTGTCAACAAACTCCCAGGAGTCTAGACATGACACAGTGTCACTAAATGGTTTTCAGTGCGGCCCATGACATCTCTCTTTTGTTTGGCATGTTTTTGGAGGTCAATTCACGGTAAGAACAGGTAGTTACCACAAAAAATGGTGATTTTTTTTTCTCAAAACTAGCCAACTGCATCTGATTTTTAATAAGGCCATTTTAATCCTTATCTGAAACCCTTAATCATCTTTTTAATAAATATTATCAGACACAGAATGATTAAATTAATACTCAGGCAGCAACCATCTATCAAACTGAACCATGTAAAGGCAGACCACCAGAATCACTGAGCTATAAAATATCCACCACAATTCTTAAGGTACTGTGGCTCAAATCCAGTCTACTTGCCTCACACAGAGTTTCAATACAGTCTAAGGTTCTTGGCTCCCCTGGTTTTGCTTTTTCTCTCTAGGGAGAAAACATACAAATGATTACATCACTACAGTAGAGCTTCATAACACCCACTACTTGTACTGTCTGGAG